AAATGCTGCACCTGTTCCTCTGCTGGCCTCTGTATTACATCTGTGACATTAATATTTGCAGGCATTCCTCGATACATCCAGGGCCAGTGGATAATCACTGATGAGAACACACAATATGAAGATGCTGATGGACTAGCACTAGAGGAGGGCATATGGCCCGAGAGCCCACCAGAAGTTCTTGAACTGGTGACACCAGTTGACCAGAACTTGCAGACTACTCCACAGCCATATGTTATGAAGGAACAAGGTGGGCTGCTAACAGTACTGAGTTTATGATCCACAGCATAACGCCTGCAATAAGATTGTCAGTAGTGTTCATCATAGTCTGTTAAATCTACCCATTCCAGACCACATTCCACACATATTTTGTTTTGTTTCTTGTTAGACTCAGAAGAAAGAGAAGAATCGGCAGTGTGGAAAATCGTCCTGGTAGCAGTCATCCTGCTGGTGTCTATAGTGGGATCTCTGAGTATGGCCTATTACATGTGTGTCTGGAGAGGAGGCAGGATTCACTATCAGCCACAGAAGGAGGGCTATCCTTAAAATAAAACTTATTTTTGCGGAAACTATTCTCAAGAAGTGTCATATTTTTTTTCTGCCTTTAGTCAGATGGAAATTTGGCTGTAACTCTTTGTTCCTTGTTTTACTACAAATATTTCTATTTACCACCAGTGACCTGACAAGGGAATGAGCTACATCAGAGAAAGTGGTGAAAAGGTATAAATCGGAAAGAGGACTGACAGTTAACTTATGTTTTATTTCAGTGAGCCTGTCCATTAATATACCACACAGTATCTTTATTTTTAATGACATGACAGAGCCAACTCCTGGAACGATGACCTTCTCCCTTACTAAATGTGTAAGAATAAATATATTTACACGTTTAAATACTTGTTGTGGTAGTTGTGGCTGTTGCTGACTGGTTGTGACTGTGCCTGTGCCTGTCAAATAAGATTCAGTCTGTTCTTCAGCCAGAGTTTAAAAAAAAAGTTTAAAAAAGTTTTTGCAACCAAAACAGACTATTTATTTATATGAAACTCCCAATATCAGAAACTCTTTTTTGCATTATATTTATGCTTGACAAAAGGACTGACTAGTTATTGTAATGGCCACTAGAGGTCCTCACTAACATGTTTGTTTCATGGTCCACACATCCGCTTGACCTCAACAGCAGCTATGTACACTTGTAAACCCTGTATTTCACTATGCATTAGGTGTATGTGTAACCATGTGTTGTCTCAATGATCTGAGATTACAGAATCTTTTTCATTACCCCAAACTCAGGTTTTAGGTCATTTGTATGTATTTAAGAGCATAACTTTAAAAATGTTGTCATTTTGGATTTTTTTTTTTTTTTTTTTAAATCACTGAATCTCTGGCCAATTACTTTTACTAATATTTATATTATATGTTGAGATATTTAAAAAGGCGCATTGTTTTGTTGGCTAACAGAGCTAAAACTGCCCAAACTTGTTGAATAAAGTTGGATTGCTCATTGTGTGAATAGCCGTTGACAGCGTCGCGCTAATAGGCTTAATGGTATCTATTTTCTGTGCCTCGAGAAAATTTGAATAAAAGTTGAATCCCTACAGTGATGAGTCAGCTTTTTTTCATTAAAAGCTTTTTCTATGAAACATTTACAGGACCTATTTTCCTCTAACCACCAGCCCTCTTTTCACTTTGTAAACTCCAGTTTATGTTATTTACTGCCCTGGGCAAACGTTTCCTCCTTTATAAGAATTCATCTTGATCAGAATTATGGTGAGATGACAGGCAGGCTGTTGGCAAAACCAGTGTACTGCAAAGAGTAATGTTTTAATTCAGTGTCAAGCAAGCGGCCTCAGATCAAATCCACAAACATTTATAAGCCCCCCTTGAGCAAAATCAGGTGGCATTAGGGGGCCCAAGGAGACAAAAAGCTGATGAATTGAATTAATCTCTCCTCCTGTGATGGATGGGCCTGTTCACAGGGGGTTGGAAAATGGGAGCATTGTTCATCTGTCACTCCGATTGCCATGTCCCTCTATGATTTGTGCCTGGATTGTGAAGGCCACAAGTGGCCAAAAGACCTCCCTCTCTCCTTCTCTCTTGTCTCACTGCTTGTTTTTTTCAGGAATTCCCAGGCTTTCAATTGCCTCCACCCCCACATCACCACCATCAGCCACACTGATATCCATAAAGCCAGATGCAGAAAAACAAGCCTTCAGCCAGGACAAGTGAGCATAAATATCTGTCACTCTTTCCTCATTCTATTTACAGTTTGTGGGTACATTGTAGTTCGTAATGTGTGCATTTCAGATAGAGTCCAGGTACAAAACCAAACTACTCTGCACACACTGGGTCAAGTCATAATTTGCATAAGGTGTATAATTACATTACGGAGCATAATGTAATTTGAAAAAATAAAAATTAGTGATACATTTTTCACTATGTAATAAAATGTTATCAGTTTTTCCTTCCATAAAGTAAAAACACTGGATTATAGCTTTTATTGAAAATAAACTGAACATGAAGAGTCCAATAAAAGGAAAAAAACTGCCAAATACATTATGTCCAATATAAAGCATGTCCATATGCAATTGGTTTTGCTACAAAGTTATGTTGAAATAATTTGTTGTCTGAGCTTATATGCATTATTGTGCTTCATCAAAATATGTCTTGAACACAGAGAAAATCATGTCATGCCTTAATTTTCTTTCATAATGTCGCTTATAATCCTCTTTTCTTACTTCAACTGTAAGGTCCATATAAGTACAGTGTGGAGGAGCTTGGCTTTTAACCGGAGCTCTCATCTGAGTTGCCTTATTTGTGTTCACAGAAAATATTATGGTTTATTTAACCCCGTGAAGCCTTTTATGCTATAACAAACAAGATGTAATCCAGTATTGGCAATGAAGGCTGCTGGGTGTGGGGGTGGGAGTGGGTGGGGGGCAGCTTCTTGGCTCCGAGTCTTCAGTCTCCATTGTTTCTGTTGAACACCTGCCCCTTCAAAGGCACCTGACCCTCGACAGGCACAGGTGCTAGAAGGTGATTCAATAGAGATACAGAGCTCTGATTTCTTCACTGCTTTTGTGCTATGTGTGGATTACAAATTGCGATCAGATAATATCTGCTGCCTGAGAGCACAGGATACTGGAGAGGACTATGCAGAAACTAAAGCGGTTGAATAGGAGGTAAAGCAGTAGCTGTCGTAAATGAACACCTTAGGTTAATAGTGCCAATAGGCCTATGTGGCACTGGGTGCAGAGGTACTTGGACAAGAGAAAAACTGGCAATGGCAAACGTTACAATGGGGAATGCAGAAGCCTCTTGCCTAGTCTATCACTTCAGGACCTATTCCATCATAGTTGCAGGGGGCTGAACTGAACCAACCCTGAACCGGACAGGATAACCAAGTATAAAAAATGCATGCATGTTTGGTTTGCAGCTTTGATCTGTGAGGTTGTACTCAACCTTGTTTAAATGCTAAATTGTTACAGCATGATGACATGCACATTGACATTGCTGATGTTTAGTAGATACAATGTTTACCACGTTCACCAACTCAGTTGAGTGTGTTAGCATGCTAACATTCTCAAATTAGTAATAAACACAAAGTACAGAGGAGGCTGATGGGAATGTTATTAGTTTTGCAGGTATTTGGTCATAAACCAGCATATTTCGACCACCTGACAGTAGTGCTACATGAAAAATGTTAAGGGCTCACCAAAGTGGATTTATCCTCTGAGATACTTCACAGGATACTTGAACTTGTAGTAGAGCAAGAGGAAAATTTACATGATCGCCAACGTCATCTTCTTTGCACATGTATATCCGTATGAAATTTCAGAGCAAACTATCCAATAGCTGCTGACTGTGTTGTTATTTCAGTCTGGACCAAAGTAGTGAACTGACCGACAAACCGACATTGCCATCCCTAGAGTGATGGCTAAAAATCATTACTCATAGCTCACAAACGTAGAAGTATCAGTAACTGGATATCATTTCATTCGACTAACTGACTTTGCTCTTTCATTTGACACCCAGATAAAGGGCAGACTGAACAGGAGCTCTCCCCTAAAAATAACGTAAACTAAAATTATCAGACACAATCATTAGTATTGGGCAATGGGCCATCATTTTATTATGCTACAGATGATGGTATCTACTATGCTTTTTCCTCTTTGTCTCTCTCTCTCTCTCTCTTCTCTCTCTTCTTCTCTCTCTCTCTCTCTCTTTTTCTCTCTTTTCTCGTATTTTTCTCTCTCTCTTCTTGTCTTTCTTTCTTTTCTTTCTTTCTTTCTCTTTCTTCATCTTCTTTCCTTTCTTTCTTTCTCCTTCTTTCTTTCTTTCTTTCTCTCTCTCCCCCACCCCCCCTCCCCAAACACATACAGCTCTCAGTGCCCCCTTTAGTGAAGGACTATGTTT